TGCAAGATAGCAAGTCAGCTGTGTCCTCTGCACGTGACCCAGACCTTCACACCACCAAGAACCAGAACCAGACTCATTTTACGGTTCTATTTCAGGCTGATGAAATAGACATTGACATGCCTGCAACTAGCAAGAGGGAGAAACACTCTGGATTTCCTCTTTCAAAGTCTCACAAGAGGGAGAGATGGGGAATAGTGAACAGGAGTTCCTGGGGAGTCTGGTCCTGGTCCTTGGGGGTGGGCTGATTGCTGCCCTGTGCATTTGTCTGCTCTCTGCAGCCATGGGAGCTTGCAGAGCATGCTGGAATGTATGTACTGGGGCCCCTTGCCCACACGCTGCCTGCATAGCACCAACCCGGGCCCTTTAGACTGCTTGCAGATGTTAAAAACAAATGAACAAACAAAAAAACCCCACATGCTTTACCAGAAGAAGTAGCACATTACTGCAACCCGGTTCTACAGCCTCTGTATAGATTGGGCACTTTAGCAGGGCTTTTGGCATTTTTATCAAATAGCTGATTCAGTTCACTATTAGATAGAAGCAACAAAAGAGCCCTACTAAAATGCCTGATCTATACAGATGTTCAGTGAACCAGGTCCAGCTAATGCACTGTCTCTTCTGGGCATGTGCTGGGTTTGGCGCGGGAATGCTCCAAGTTTAAAGTACTGTTTTTGTTTTGTTTTTATTTAACATCTGTAAGCAGCCCTAATGTTTGTAAAGTGGTCTCCTGGTCGGTTTCCCTGAGGAGGGGAGGTGGGCAGGAGGAGGGGAAGAAAAACAAGACAGCAAGACTTGTTATGGTTTATTTGAATGCTTTTAAGTACTCTCAGGCTAAGTACAGATAGTCAAAAAGCCTGAGGCTGAATTGATTCAGTCTTTGCTGGGTATTTTAAGCTGCAGAGATTAAACTGAGAAACAACTGGACAGGTATTCACTTTTGATTCAGGAAATACAGCCACATACCTGCAGTGGCTCAGGCCAGAAGCTGGGGAGCGGGGTGCTAGAGCATGGCTCTCTGGCATGTAGCCAGCATGGGCTGTATATTCACTTTCTCTTCCTGCTGCCCCTGAGGTCTCTGGGATTTGCAGTCCAGAACTACAGCAACAGGACTGCAGGGTTGCTTGCTCATCACTTCAGTTCCCCTTCCTGTTTCCAGGTGCCTCTGGGATTTGTAGTCCACAGTCACAGCCAGTAAGTTTGAGTGGGGGAAGGGGTATTTAACCCCTTCCTCCCTCCCCTCCCCAGCCCAGACCCCAGCCAGGGTTTTGTGTGGGGGGGAGCAGTCCCTGCCTTCTTCCTGCCTGCCCCCCCAATCCCCCCAACCTTCTTTGCTGGAGCAGACAGCACAGCCCAGCTCAGGGCTGGAAAGCATGCTGGGGGACTGTGATTTTAACTTGAACCAGGAAGGGGGCTGGGACAGAAGTTCCACAACCTGATTTGACCCAAATCAGTTCAGTCTGATACTACATTCAGCCAGGTTTATCTTAAACCAGTTTCATCCATTTTGAAACTGGTTTATGTGCACTGAACTTCTGTTCTGTTACCGGTTTAAATCAGTTTCTGATTAGTTAAACCAGTTTATATGCAATTTTTGTCCCTAGCCTCAGTGACTAGCTATTTATTGCTTGCAATTACCCTGTGATGGACATAAGTGCAGGTATTCCAGATCCCAGTGTAATTTCAGTACTGTATTAAAAAAATCTGATGCAAGTCACAGTGAAGTATGTGTGTTGGTATGTATATGTCTGGGGCAATACTGGTACAGTAACTCCTGCTATGAGTATCAAGAATTGAGGTGTGTGTCTGAAGGAACAGTCAGTAAAATATTATTGGGACAACTAAAATCACAATGGAGAGAAATGAGTGAAATTGAACCAATACCATGGATTTCTTTCTGTACTGATGGCTTAAATTTTAAATGCATATTTTGCTTGCTTGCTTGTTTGATTTATATGCTGCGCTTCCCAACAAAAGCTCAGAACAGTTCACATTAGGAGAACAGAATACTTATAAAATAGGAAAATGATGAAACAACTTTAAACAGAACTTGAATATCAGCATAAAACAGAGGCTTTCCCCCTGCTTCCCCAGCCCCAACAATATCTCAGCTTTGATTGCCAAATGCTTGCCCATACAGAAATGTCTTACAGTACTTTCAAAAGATGTCCAAGCTTGGGCTCTAGTGGGCCTCGAGGGTTGTCTTATCCTGCAGTAGATGTATCCCTTTTTCTATACTACTGGTGGAGGATAAAATTGCCAGAGGGCAGAAAATGGTTCCTCTGTCTAATTGTGATATTAGCAATCAAACCCTTTTCTCTATGTTCCGTTTGGTTAGACCTAAGAATTATGTAGGGACTTTAGGGTCTGACTGTTACTGAGACATCTGAACAGATATTTCATTATGGCTTTTATATGGAAGCCCTGCTTATCTTCTGTGCATTCTTCTGTAAAAGTGTAACGAAATGCACACTCTTTTGTATTGCAAATCAGCTCTAAAACAGCTGTCCCTGAGAGCAAAACCTATGGTGTAGAAGTATAATCTATTAAATATTAATATAGTTTTAAATGCTTGATAACATGAAATATTTAGACATGCTGTATGTAGTGTAGGGCTGCATATGGAGAATACTTTTCATGTCTGCCTTTTTTGTATTGATTATTAGATACTGATACTGATGTTCAGCAAACAGCCATCCAACATTTATCTGCCCCATGTTTTTTCTTGTAAGCTACTCCAGACAGACTTTTCAAGACTTTTTGTCTTCTGAAAATGTTCTAGGGTGGCTTTCTCTGGCTTCCTTTTCTTTTTTTTCCTCCCCCACCCTTCCTTTTTTCATATCCTGAAATAGCTTAGTGAAGTTGGTCCAGTTCTTGAGCAGAATTCCATGGTTTCTGTTGTACTTCCTATCTCTTCATCTTCCTGCTGTACCATGCCTTGAAAAGTCCACTTGGCAGTAGAAAGGAAGGAGAATTCATGGGTTAAGGACATAAGCTCCTTTATAACCTAAGCTTTCACTAAGAGGAAACTCCCCAGTTTCGCCCTTACTAACTGGAAGTATAAACTTACTCAGTACTGTGCACGTGGGCCTGCATGCAATTTCAGTGTCTTGGCTGCAATTTCAGATTTCTCAGACTGCAATATAGTGAAGCCTGACCAGCATTGTTAGTTTTCACTGCTTTTCTTTGTAACATTTGTTGAGTGTTTTTGGCCAGTGATGGAACTGATGGGAAACAGGCTAGTTTCTGAGAGCTGTTGTTGTTCACAGATTTCTTCAAACAACAGCAGGTGAAGTCAGTAGAGCTGGCAACTGGGAGGAGGATTTAAGCTTAGACAGAGAGAGAGATGTTAGGAAGAAACTGCAAATGGATAGAAGGCTTTAAGGAAAGGCTCAGTAATATTCAAGATATACCCTCATAGTAAACAAGAGGTTCTGGGGTGAATTAACCTAAATTTAAGCTGTAAAGACCATGATGCACAGGATGGATTCTGTAAAATCATTAGAAACTCCCTAGCAATACAAACAACAACTTAATAGTCAGTCCCTGGACCTTGCTAAGATTTTAGCAGCCTTTTATTTCTTCTCAGTTAAGTGAAGGTGTGCGCACTGGTGGCTTCTTCTCAAACGTATCTTTGTCCAAGAGGGTAGTAGTCAAAATTATGAGTATTGGATGAATTTTATTGTTCCATCCCAAGTGTAGTGTTCTACAGCAATAGCAAGGTAAAACACAGAATGAAAAGAATAATTGCAATAAAAATTGAAGGAAGCTTATTAAGAAGATCTATAATATAAATTAATAAACATGCATCAATCTGTTATCCATCAGCCAGGAAATTTTCAGGAAACTTTTGTTATAACTGATGGAGTGTTTCTGTGGCTGATTGTGGTGTAAGTGATTTGTTCTGGTTCACAGTTGTACTCCTGGGTCTCATAAGTGTCTGGGAAACTCTTCAAGGCCCTGATACGTCTCTTTGCTTGAAAGGAAGTTTTCTCGAATCAGAAACAATTTAGTGATTCTAGGAAAAAAGCTATAGCGAAGGTATTGTAGGGAAGCAGACGTTCATGCATGATGCTTTTCAAGATAAGTAGCTTTTTTTAATTGTGGTAGACAATGAATTAGTTGGAAACAGCTTTCTCTCTGGCTCATTAACTTTATTTGTCTAGGACTGTACCCATGTTGCCTCAGTACTTCAGTAGCGTTATGAATTGCTGAAGATCTTCTATTTCTTGCACTCCCTGGGGATTACAGGCATTAATACTTCTGTTGAATTTTTCTCAAGGGAGAGTTACAAAATGCGGTTCATTTGAATTATGTGAAGCAAATAACATGGAATTCCCTTGCAGAGTTCCCATGCTGTTTGCAACCATTCTCTCCTGTCAGCTATCTCTGCCGGGCAAAGGATCAGAATCCTTTTGAATGCCAATCAAAAGAACAACATGACTAGTAATCCTCAGTCATAGGACTAGGTTGTGCACTGTTCTGATAGGTTGTTGTCTTACTGTCATTCTGAAACAAAGTAAAAGAAGCTGCTAAAAGTATCACAGTCTCATGATGTGGCATGGAGAGGAATATGCAACTTTCTTTTCAGCAAAGCTATAGCCTTCACCTTTTGATCTTAAAACAAAGCAAAAACAAACCCAAAACAAAAACCAAAAAACCCCTGCAAACAAAACATCTTCCTTTAAATACTCTTAGCTGAACTGGGGCTTATTTGAAGCTGTCCTATGAAGGAGATTTGCAAAGTGAGGGAGGAGAGGAGAAAGGGACATACATGTCTTACTATCTTAAGCTGTGTTTCCAGAAAATTGTACAGGTTCCAATCTCGTATCAGGGAGTGGCCACATTTGTGCATATTTGTTGCATTAAACTGTCCATCTCTGAATGTGGGGTGTGGGGGGGTGGGAGGGAATGTTGGTCTGCCTGAAACTGAACCTGGATAGAAGTGGCTATGGCATTTCATTCTCTAAATGTTGTTTGTTTTTTTTCTTTTTTCCTTACAGTTACTGTGTCCCATATCACACAGCTGGTTCTCAGTCACAACAAGCTCACAAGTAAGTTCCATGGTTGATGATCATAAGTATTGTCTAATTTACTTAAGTTTTGTTACTTGGACTCAAACAACAATGTTCAAGAGATGTCATGAGGGAATAGTTGTGGTTTAGCATCAATTAAGTTGCACCCCTGTGAGAAAAGAGGGGAAAGCATGATCCAACTCGGAGTGACTGGTACCTCCAGAATCGGGGGCGGGGGGGCCCGGGGGTGTGTCAAAAGCCCCATATCCACTCTGATACGTCTGTGCCGTCCCTTAGTGCCCCCACCCCAACATGCCTCCGGCCCACACAGCAAAAAAACTGCCCCATCCTGAGCGGTGCAGTCGGGGGCCAATCTTGGGGGGGGGGGGAGTGTACCCCCCCACCATTCACCTGTGATCCAACTGTTGAGAAACTAAGTAGTCTCATTGTAGCAGGCAAATGGAGAATGTGATGGAATGTGATGTGATATGAGCTTCAGAGCTTAGCTGTCTTCCTTGTTATTTCATTCCTCATTTGCTGGATGAAGTTCTTGACTGTAGTCTTACCTTCAGTCCCTGTAATTGCTATTTCTTCCACCTAACTCCAAAACTTCCCATGCTTCCAGAAGTTTCATTGTTAAAAAAAAAATGCTTTGGATTTTGGTGTTAATTATTTTAACTTCAGCAAGATTAATTAAATGGGAAATCCCCAGTGATTGTGCATGTGTGTTTAAACCCACACAACTGAATGGATGTTAAAACAAAGAAAGGAATAATAAGAAGTAACTTTTTCAGCATTGTTTAATGCAAAAAAACTCCCTCGAGGTAGGGACCAGATCTCTCTGTATCTGTCCCATAGAACTGGTCCTTCAAATGTGTAGATGCTACTGCCTTAATTAGTATAAGGACTAAGGTTTTAGCAACTCCAGGAAATAATTACAATAATTCATCAACTTCCCAGTCTGAGGAAGTACTTATTTGAGCTCCTTGTGGGGCAGAGGAGAGTATCCATGTGGGAGGGCTGTTGATCCCAGATTTGCCTGCTTTCTCATTTCACAAAGGCTTTGCTTCATTGACAGTTAAAATGAGAGGGAGTGTCTGTGAGGCCTCTTTTTCCATCCTGCTCCGATTGTCTTTGATTTAGCTGGCCATGGGAGCCTTTCAGAAGAACTTGGGGGTGGATTCTTGTGGCATCCTGCCAGTCCAAGCTATTCCTTTTTTGTTCTAGTGGTACTCAGTCGGGCCTTTTAGTGCATTAGTGGACCTCCTTCATACAATATGTAATATTTTTTGGCTGTGTGGGGGAATAGGGAGGGAAATTGGAACTATTGTGTGATGCAGCATGATGAGAGAAAAATTGAGGAAGAAACAATTTGCAGGAAACATGCAGGGGGAGGTATAAAAATAGGAGATGTCAACAATTCACACTTAAATGAGGTTCCAGTCTGTCAAGCTACCCTGTAGAGGTACTCTAGAAAGTTTGGACAGTGTTTCTGAAGCTCACATTTTCAGTTACGTAGGTCACCAAATTCCAGGCTAGTCTAAAATCAAAACCTTCCATGGGAATTATTTATTTAATATCAAAATTTGCTTAAGGGAGGCTTCTTGGGCAAAGAGGAATTAGCAGCAGTAAAGATGACATTGATTTTGTTAAGTTACTAGATCTGCATTCAAAATATTCATTTTCATTTTGTCCTTTATCTTACCCTTCAACTATTGCTTAAAGTGTTTGAAGGAAATGGGTGAGAAGGTAGGTGAAAGTTGGTAAAAGCATACAATTATTAAGAACTTTTGGTAGTTTGGACTTTGACTTTTTTGATCATTTCTTCATATCCTCCTGCCCTTCTTTTCATGCTTTTCATGTGGGTCCCCAGGAAATTTCCATCTCTTATTGCAATTTGGAAAATTGATTTCAAGCTGACTGACACAGGTGAGATAACTATGGACCCCTGTTAAATTCTGTAGGCGCCATGCTTCTTTTGTGCTAGGCATCTTCTCTGATACTTCACTTTCTAAGATGACTGATCTCTGTCCAGTGACTGTTGACTTATGTGTAAAAGTTTTCTCCTCAGTGATGAGCAACTAAATTGCTGTTTGCTGTGATGGATACACAACACCCAGAGAATAACTGGGCTGCTGGAGGCCTAGTCTGTCCTACTATGTTGAACCTGAAGCAGGTCCCAAGCTATCCAGGAGAGTTGAAATGGGAAATTGATGTCTTCTGGGAGTGAGAGCAGACCTTTTGCTTTTAGTGAAGAGCAGGGTGGGGCCGGGAAATTAAATGCGCTGCTCCTTTGTAGAGCTCAACCTAACTACCCCAGACTTAGCCAGAGGTCTTCTGTTGAAAACCAAGAGGGACAGAGCAGCACAGATTGCCATAGCTCACATACCAGTAGGGGTTGGGAGCAAGATGTACAATTGTATCCAAGTCAGTAAAATTCACCATACCTATGATCTTTTTTATATGTTTATGGTAGGGATGTATATGGTTAAATGACAATTATATTACTGTTTAGTGACCTCTGGCAGGAATGGCCCTGGTCCCTTAGTCGTCACAATGCACCCAGTCCTGCATGGGCTGCTGGCAGAGGGTGGCAGGTGTAGCAGAGCCAGTAGGGGTTCTGCCTAGCTGCAGAGCCATGGCTTCAGGGGCTGGGGCTTCAGATGGAGGTGGGGTTATGGACATTTCCTATGCCCGGAACCAGCCACTACAGGGAGGGAAGGAGGTGCTGTGCCCTCCCTTCCCCCCTCAGGGGTCGGGTGGGGCCTTCCTGCCATAACAGCAAGACTCCTGGCCCTGCAGTGGATCTGCCAGCTCCCCCACCCCCAAGAGTAGTGGGACCCAAGCAGGACGATGGGCTCTCAGCATCTCTGACCACACTTGTGCTGCTGTAGCCTGGACCTGAAAGGCTCCTCCTCTCTGGGCCCTCCCCAGCTTGCTCCAGGATAAGTGGGGGGTCTGGTCCCAGCGGGGTGGCCTCCGCCGGGTGTGCTGCATCTTTACCACTTCTGCCCACTGTACTGGGGCTGTGTAGGGCCTAGCCCTGCTCTAAGGTGGGGCTGAACATACAGCTGGCTCAGCCCAAGGAGGCACTGCAGCAACTGCAGCAGGCAGCCCTGGGTCTGAGGGGTTGCTGCTAGCCCCTTGCATGATGAGCATGGCCCCAGGGCATTTCTGAGGGGTAGTGGTGCAGCAGGACAGCACAGCAGGCATCC